CAAGACACATCATAATTAAAATGCCAAAGGTTAAAGACAAAGAGAGAAGCTTAAAAGCAGCAAGAGAAAAACAGTTAGTTACCTACAAAGGAGCACACATATGACTGTCAGCTGATTTCTCATCAGAAGCTTTTCAGGCCAGAAGGGAGTGGCAAGAAATATTCAAAGTGATGAAAAACATGGAACTACAACCAAGATTGCTCTACCCAGCAAAGCTATCACTTAGAATTGAAGGTCAGATAAAGAGTTTCTCAGACAAGGGAAAGCTAAAAGAGTTCATCACCACCAGACCAGCACTACAGGAAAGGTTGAAGGGTCTTCTTTAACAAGAAGCTGATGAACAAAAGAATCTGACGAACTAAATAGATCCAGAGACATTGACACATGCAACAGATGATCATATTTCAGAGGAAAGAGGGAAGGGGGGGGAGGGTGGGAAGCTGTCTCTTATACACATCTAGATGTGTATAANTACTGGGGAAAGGCCTGGGGAGGGGGTGGGAGCAAGGTGGAGGGGGTCAATTGGGGGGAAAAATGGGACACCTGTAATACTTTCAACAATAAAGATAAATTTAAAAAAAACAAAACCAAAAAACAAAACAAAAACAACATGAAATTTAAATGAAAATTTAACAAAAAGGAAATAAAATGTACAGTAAAAAATGAAAATTTACATACATACTGGAATTACCTTTAATGTTGAGAGCATGGAGGTGTTTTCATGGAGGTGTCCTCTTCCATGAAAATGTAAGGTAGCTGTTCTCCTTGGTTCTTTCTCTCTTTTGTCTCTTTGCTCCGCTAGAACTTGCTTTGAGCTTACTGGCCTCTGTCTCACTAAAGACCTATCCAGTTATGTTTGTTTTTGCGGACGTTTTAACACTTGCCTGAAGTGAAACACTGCTTTATTATTGAATAGGTTTATCTCATGGTTTGCTACTTCTTTGTCAGGGTGATATTTCTTAATCAAACTTTGCGTTTCGCCCCATTCCTAAGCATTTCCTTGATTAGTGAGGTAGGAGTATCCTCCCTTCTCTCCTCCTCCTCTGAAGGGAGGTCCTCAGCTGCCGTCTGTTGCTGCTCCCTCTGAAGGTGTGGAATTCCACCGTGGTCAGCTCAGTGCTGTGGTCCCCCTCCAACTCCTCCACCTCACCCTCCACCTCCACCTCCACATCCAGGGACTTGACCAGAGACACAGTATCCTCCACAGCAGACACTGGCTCGTCCTCAAAGCCCTCAAAGTCTCTTCCAGCAACAGACTCAGGCCACAGTTTCTTCCAGGCTGATTGCATAGTCCAGGAAGACACTTTCCCCCATGCTTTGTCTATCAGCCTCAAGCAAGTGAGAATATTAAAATGTTCCTTCCAGAACTCCCTGAGGGTTAAATTAATTTCAGAGGTCACCTCAAAACACCTCTGAAACAGTACCTTTGGGTAGAGTTTCTTAAAATTAGAAATGACCTGCTAGTCCATGGGCTGGATGAGAAGCGTTGTGTTAGGTGGCAAGAACCTCACAGTGATGAAGCTGTTCTCCTTCACCAGCTCAGCCTCCAAGCCTGGAGGGTAGGCAGGAGCACTGCCCATTAGAAAAGTGCCCCGAGTGGCAATTGTTTTTCCCAGAGGTATTTCTTCACACTTGGGGCAAACACTTCATGAATCCACTCAATAAAAATGGCCTGTTTACCCAAGCTTTGCTGTTAGTCCTCCACATTGCATTCACCTTGTTTTTTATGACATTTTTCTTGACAACTCGCAGGTTTTCAGAATGGTAGGTGGGTAGAGGTTCAGTCTAAAGTCCCACTCGCATTCCCACACAGCAGTAACTCAGCCTGTCCTCCATTGGCTTGTGTCCTGGCAGTGACTTCTCCTGTGTGGTGTAGGTCTTCTTTGGCATTTTCTTCCAGAAGAGGCTTGTCTCATCACAACTGAACACTTGTTGGTGAGCAAATCCCTAGGTCTCTACATATTCTTGAAATTCTGTCACGTAGTTACCAGTGGCTACTTTGTTAGAACTGGCAGCCTCTCCATGCCTCACTTTACTATGAATGCAACTTGTTTTCTTAAATTTATTGAACCACCCCCTTACTAGCCTTAAACGAATCACTTTCAGCACTCGTTCCAGGGATGTCTTTCAGGTCAGCATGCAGCCTCTTCACTTTTTCACATATCATTGCCTCCGAAATGCTGTCACTGGCTAACTGCTTTTTGTTTATCCAAATCAACAACAGTTTCTCTACCTCTTCAATTGCCTGTGATCGTTGTTTCATGAACACTTTCACACCCTTAGCAGCATTATCCAGGACCTGATTGCATGGTCTGGGAAGACACTTCCCCCTATGCTTTGTATATCAGCCTCAAGCAAGTGAGGAAATTAAATATCCTCTTATGGCCTCTTTATGTTTTAAAATTGTGCTAATCCTCTATTTCGCCATGCTATACTCAGTAACCAGATCAGACACCTCTATCATACTTTGCAATTATTTCTTTTTAAGCTCTATCATCATTCTCACAACATTCCTTTTCACTTCGCTGCTATCACTAATCTTCTTAGGACCCATGGTGACTTACTGTATGTATTTAATAATAATAAGCAGCAAAAAAAAAAAAAAAAAGCAAAAACATGACAGCATTCACAGCACAATTTCCTGACATGTTAACAATGTGGGGTTTAGAGGTAAACACTCGTATTCTTGCATTCTCTTCTTTGTCACCTGGGAAACACATAACTGATCATGCTGGTAGCAGATTGAAAGGGTTGTTGGGTCAAGAACTGAAGTTTTTTCCTACAACCGAGACATTTTTTCCATGAGCAACTTGGTTGAGAACCGAATTGTTCGAGATGGGAGACATTTGAGAACTGAGGTTTGACTATAGTAACATGGGTAACTTATGAAACTTAATGACGAACCCAACCCAGCTGAAGACCAAGATCATTTATGATCGTACGTTTGTATGTCTGTCTCTCCATCTCTGCTTGTAGCGCCTGGGAGCATGAATGGATAAATGAGTGCTGGGAGACTTGAGGTGGGCAAATAACCAGTTTTATGGGGAAGAAGACAGGTTGTGGGAACAACACGTTGGTGATCTTGTCCTTAATCCCTGACAAAGCCCTGGAACAAATTATCAGTCTATTCTCTTCAAATGAACCTTTTTTCTGGATCTTCTCCATGTGACTGGTACCCTACCAAAAGCCAAGACGCATCCCATGACAGCCTTGGGGCTTAGATGGGCAGATTGGCAGCTGGGTGGTGGCACAAGTAGGAAGACTCACAAGCCCTAAATATTGGAGGACATTGATCCAGGGCAGACCCTAGTGCTCTGGGGTTTTCCCATTCCTGTTTTCTCCCTGAGACCTTGATGGCACAAGAGACAAAGCAGGGAGAGGAAAGCAGCTGTTTTGGATGACATTCATTCGATCTTTACTTTTCATCCACTAAAAAATTATTGAGCACCTTCTATATACCAATGACTGTCAAAACAGTACTTCAGAAGATCAAGGCATAGTTACAACACACTGTGACTATACTTAATGCCACTGAATTGTACATTTAAAATGGTTAAAATGGTAAACTTTATGTTATATTTTGCCACAGTTAAAAAAATGATCATGGCAGTTGGAATGATGGCCTCAGCTTAACTGGACGAAATGTACCAGTAACAACTGAAACCGCCTATAAAGCTCCACCTTTTCCCCGAATTGTTCAGAAGAGGATGGCAGAGAAGTATGCCGATGTAAGAAACACCCAAATCTGTAGAAAACTTTTAAGAGTTTATTTGAGCCAAACTGATGACAGTTGCCAGAAAGCAAAATCTCAATGGATTGAGAAAATGCTCCAGAGAATGGCAGTTTTGCAGCTTATTTTATGCATTAGAATCAAAGAAGTGGGGAGAGGCATGAAATCCACTGGTGGTAGATTAAGGGAGTGAGAGAAAGCAAGGCAGGGAAACCTCTGGGACTGGATAAAGAGTAAAGCTGAGACACGTACTTCTTCTACATCGGAGGGTACAGGGTAGCTAACATTCCCAGTGCAGAGACGGTCTGCAGGGAATGAGGTAACCGTGAGGGCCTCTGTGGTCTCCTGTCCTTGTTCCATCAGGCTGTGCCCTGAGGGGTCTGGAAGAGGAGATCACTCTGACTTTTCAAAGGTATGTTATCTTAGATGCAAAAAGACCATACACAGGCTCACGGCAGGTAAAGATTGACCTTTATTAAGGAAACTACAGGCCTAGGATGGGACTACCTGCCATGACCTGCTTTTAGTTAGGAATTTTTATGTTCAGACCATCCTATATAGTTACTTTAGGTCTCTGAGTTTGTAGGACCCACCATGCTGACCTCCTCCGAGCTTGTCAGTTTAGTATGTGGCTCTTTTGTCATCCACACGTGGATCAGCAGCAATACATGGAAACAACTTATGGTCATTGGCCATAGCTTTGATAGTCTATTATTTTAGGTCATTTTGGTGAACAATGTGGCATGCTGCCCATTGGTGACCTCATCAAGAGAGAGGAAGATTGAATTCTTGCAAAGTTGTTACAAGAGAGAGGGCAGACTTGTTCTGCGTGGTCCAAGGGGTCGAATGAGGACTGACATGGGCTGAGAGACAGATTTTGGCTCAATATAACAGAGCTTTCCACCAGTGGGAGCTGCCCAAAAGTTAGCACACTGACTTGGGAGGTAGTGGGTGTCTATCAGTGGAGGGGGAAAACAGAGGTTTTGGGGGTGGCCAGAGAGGTTCCCTGTTCTGATCCTGACCATTAACTTCTGCAGTTTCTCCAGAATTGGTTGGGGGACCTCTTCTCATTTTGTGATCTCCCTCAGTGATCCCAACTTTGGTTTTTGTTACCACCAATGCATGGATAGCTCTCTTGTCCCCCTCTGTTCTGAGCTCCATCTCTGTGTGTTCAGGAGTCCATCACACATTTTGGCATGGTGATCCACACTGTTCTGCCCCTATACATGCTCCATTTCCAGGCATCCTCATCTTATGTGTGTCCACATGTTTGTCCAAGCCTTCAGTACAACCTTGACTCTTTCAGCCCTTCCCTCCCAAACAAACAATGAAGCCCATCAAGTCTACCTTTGAAATTGAATCTGGGCCAGGCACCACTAAGTGACTCTGATGAGATAGTGTCCAGTTCTTATTTTGAAATATCTATTTTAGATGTGGTTTCTTTTGCTGCTCTGAGCAGTGGCAATTTTCATGGGGTGAGCAGAGTGGGGAGAGGAGGGAAAGTAAGGAAAGGATGGCTCCCTGAATTAGTTACTTCAGGTGCTGTAAGAAAGACCCAGAACAACAGTGACTTATGCTAGAATAGATGCTTATTTCTCTCCCATGTGATAGTCTGGGTAGTCCAGGGCTGATACTGCAGCCCCTCAGGGGCCTTCTATCTTGCTGCTTTGCAGTCCCTAGGGTGTTCCTTTGGCAGCATGGCCCCAGATGGCTCCCTATATCTGAGTTCCAGCCAGTGGGAAGGGGGAAAAGAGCAGGTATATGCTCTCTCTTTAAGGGCATGACCCAGAAGTTGGATACATCTGTTGTTCTCACCTCCTATTAGCTAGAAAGTGGTCATGTGACCATAGCCAGCTGCAAGGCAGGCTGGGATCTGTAGTCTAGCTGAGTGGCCATGTGCCTAACTAAAACTTCTACAGAAGAGATTAGGTGTAATAGCAAAGCTCGTCATTTCTGCACAGTGGTTTTGTACATTTCACTGTGAACTGCATGGCAGCTAATTGGCTAACCTTAGGGATATACGAGTACACTAAGGCTTAACACACTAACAAAGTTATAATAGCATCCAGCAAAGCTCTTTTATGGATGGGAACATAGGGCTCAGAGAGGGGAAGTCACCTGTGAAGACTGCACAGTAAAGTGTCAGAGCTAGAACTAGCACCTCAAACTTTCTACCTCTTCAAAGAGTTGAGTTGAGAGGCAAACAGGCAGTGCCAGGAGGACTGGGGCTGGGGAGGGGCCACCTTTCCCAGTCTGTCTACCCGAAGAATACTAATCATTTTTCAGGACTCAGGGTTATCATGTCTCTGAGGTGCCTCCAAGTGACCCTCACCGCACCTTAAGTAGTACCCTATGCTGAACTGCAGTGATTCATGCCCACCTTCCCTATTGGAATACAGGCTCCTAGATTTTAGTCATCTCTCTTTCCCCAGTACCTGCCTAATAGTTAAATGCATTACTGAATATATGAATGAATGTATATTTGAGGACTCCTTCAATTGCAGGTAATAAAAACTTAACTTAAACTGGACTAAGAAAAAAAAAGACTGGCTGAAGTATCCCGGCAGTCTAGGTGAGCAGCTTGCCTCAGGCTTAACTGCTGTTTTTAGAAGCCCTGCTTCTGTACTATGCTGGTTAGCAGACATTGACACTGGCTATATGGCTTGACCCTTCTTACCTTCTTTGTGGGAAGTGTTGCCCAAGCAGCCCCTGCAAGGGCTGAGAGGAGGCTGGAGAATATGGGCCGCTGCTGGTGGCCATGGTTGTGTCAAGGAGTCCCTCTTAGGCACCCCCAAGTCCAGGGCATCTTGGTATAGAGCCCAGTCTCAGCCCTTTGTTGTTTTTGGTTTGGGTTTTATGGGGGTCACATCTTGGGCCATTTCTCGGGTGCTTCCCTGTGGCTCCACCTCTTGCAGGTTGGATGTGCCTGCTGTACTCTCAGGCTAAATGTGGCCTGGGTCCTAACTCCTGCTTCTTTCTTAAAGCCCAGGCACTCTGGTCTCTCCTGGCAGAACTCCTTGGAGTTCCCACATTCAGCCAGGACTGGGATGGGGAGGGGGAAGGGAGAGGAGGGAGGAATGACTGGCTGGTGACTCACTGGGAGAGTAGCACATACTGACTACAGGGCAGGTCCCGCCTGGGGGTTGAGGCGCTCATCTGTCCCCAAGGGCAGTGATTGTCTTTCTGTTCTCTGTCAGGCTCCCCATCTCCCAGCTTTGTTTTTCCTTTCTGTCCTCTGCTCTTGGGTGCCCAGCTGTTGTGGTGGAGCCACTGGTGCTGTGGGATTCTCAGGTCTCCTCAGTTCTGTGCTGTCAGTCTTCTTCCCAGGGAAAGGTGGGAACTTTCCTGGGTTCAGAGTTTAGGAAAGGAGTCAAAGGGAGCAAACCCAACACCCACCCCTGGAACCCCCCATTCTTCCACTGGAGGGAAGGACAGCTCAGCTCTTGGGGAGCCCTGAGAGGTCTGATCAGGAGAAAGGTGCTCCCTGATCCCCCACATTCACAGAAGTGGCAGGCATTCCCAAGAGACCCTGGAGAGTAAAACCCCAGTGGCAGGAATTAACTTGATGTATAGAGATGACAGTTATTAAGAAAGGTCTTGAGTGTTGGGCAGGGGACTGTGGGTTAACTTCAGTAGTAAATGGGGAGCCATGGGAGCCTCTTGAGCAGGGGGAAGGACATGAGCAGGTCCTAAGCACTGTAGAGAATGGGGTTATTGTTGGGGACAGAGCAGAGATAGCAGGGCCAGTGAGGAGGGTGGCAGGAGAGTCAGGGTGGGAGATTGTAGGCAAGAGGAGCAGGGAGAGAGTGAGGGAAGGGTCCAGGAAGAACAGACAGGCCTTGGTTTGTCTGAGGGTGAAAGTGATGAAGGGAGACTTGGAATCTGGGAGCTTCTTAATCCTTAGTGGGGCAGGCAGGCATGGCAGGCTGCTAGCTTTTCCTGTGGGCTGTGGTGGCTCTTGTAGGCAGGATGTGATGCTTGCCAAGAATGCTTTTATGAATGGAGTGGGAGGCTGCTGACTCAGCAGGTGGCTTTGGGTCACCAGGTTTGGACTGGAAGCCTCTAGGAAGGAAGTGGCTGCTCAGGGCTTCCCCACTGCAGACAGCTGGGAGGGGGGGCTGGCAGGAGGTACTGGGTTAAACTGAGGGACTCCCTCAGCCCAGCTTCTGGGTATGTGGGGGTTGGCTGGGATTAGAAGGGTTGAAGCCAGCTGCCTGTGACTGGAACTGATGCTAATGGCTGTAGGGTTTTGCTCTGTGGAAGGGCAGGAAGGTGTGGCTGGGAACCCAAATACTTCTCAGCTGTGCTAACTGGCAAATTACATCACATTAATATGTCACTTCACTTATCTGGGCTTTAATTTTGTTTCTTTTACAAAATGGGATCAAGTAGTTCAGCCTGTCTCCCCTGGGGGCTGTGAGAACGTGAAATTGGTTATAGATGTGCTTATCAGTGTTGGATAGTATAGATTGACACTGGCTATGTGGCTTGGCAGGGACAATCAGGCAGCAGCTGTGGGACACAGATACAAGGTTTGAGCAGCTTGCCCAAGTAAGATACCTCGGGTACAGCCAGGCTTGGAAGCAGCTGGACCCGGGAGGTCTGGGCCCCCTGCTGAGGTCTGACCTGAGACCACACACCTGCGTCTCACTTAGTCCTGCCTCCAGCCATGGGGGTCAGCCACAAGAGGTCAGCTCCTTACATTTCTGATCATCTTGGTCACTCAATCTATATGTAATAAACTAGCAAATGTTCCTTCTCTCTGGGCCCCATACTCATACACCCAGCTGCCTCCTAGAACTTGCCCCTGGAAGTTTCTGCACAAACTGTGCTAACATTATGTACCCTGTACTGAACTCTTCTCCGTCTCAATGAATACCCCACCTGGTCACTGGGTGCAAAACCATGGACCCTGACTACTCCCTTTCTCTGTCCCCACATCCTCCAGTCCTGTCTCTTTCACCCAGACCTGCTTCGTCTCTTCTGTCCAGCTTGTCTCATTTATCCTGCAGATGCCTTCAGAGTAATTTTTATGAAGCACAGCTAGGACCATATCCTTTCCTCAATTCCAGAATCTTGGTGGCTGTCAGCTGCCTTCAGGGTAAAGGCCGGACCTCTTAGTCTATGTCTAAGTCTGGCTCCAGCCTCAGCTCCTCTCCCCAAACCGATCTGAGCACATCCTTGCCCTGAGCAGGCTGACCTTGCCTCTACTTGCCTCTTTCTTATATTTGAATCTTAGTTCTGAAAGGGTGGGTCCCAGCTACCACTCCCCCCTCCCCCAGCTTAGCCTCCCCAGTGACTCAATTCCTGCCAGCATCTCTCAGAAATTCCCTCAGCAGAGAGCCTTGTGGGTGTGTGGGAAGAAGGATCTCTCAGCTGGCAGTTGCAACCTTGCCCCAAGCTGGTCCAGGGGAGATGAGGTGAGTATGCCTGGGGAGGACCTTTTGAGACAAAGGCTTCACTTCCTCTTCCTCACAGGCAGGGGCAGCCTTCCGCCACGAGAGCCCAGCTGTCAGTTGCCTCAGAGGAAGATGGGCAGTCCTGGCCCAGGTGTGCCTATGGCCACCACCCTAGGAGTGCTGTGGTTCTGCTTCACAGGTGAGGGGTGTGGTTTTAGGGCTGGAGGTGGGGGAGGGACTCGTACTCCCACCATGGGTCCTGTGGAGCCTCTCTGCCTAGCAGGGATGGGGAGGGTTTATTGAACCTCCTCCCAATCTCCCCTGTACCCTGTCCGTGCTCATTTCCACCTCCAGGATCCAATAGGCAACTTATTTTACATTTCTTAGCCTCCATTACCCCTTCTATAAAATGGCATTGTGAGCACTAATATGTCAAATGTCACCTCCTCAGCAAGGCTTTCCTGGCTACCTTGTATAAAACAGCACATCCCTCCCTGACCTTACTTCATGCTTCTTCAGCATTTATCTCCACTTGATATATTGTATGTTTAGTTCTTATTGTTTGTCTTCTTGGAGAACAAGATTGGTACCAGCCACATAATAGTGCTCATACACCATGTTGAATAAATGATGTGAGCCTTCCCACATAGAGCTTGGCACAGAGTTGGCATTCAACAATGGCCACTACTTTCATAACAATACTCTCATCTTGTATTTCAAATCCTAATCAGTACCTGTGCTCTGAGGAGGGACCGCGGTCTTCCTCCCTGGGTGAATACGAAACTTAGTTTCTGGTGCCATCTGGTGGTATAAAGAGGAAGCATCTATACCCAACGCTGCTCTTCTCTAGAGAAAGGACTTTGGGTGATTCCTGAGGTTTCATTCCCCAAATGCGCCCTAAAAGGGGCACCCTGGTCCAGTTGGTCTCCAGTTGCAGAGCTGGCCTGTGGCATCTGGAATTGCAGGGAGAGATCTCAGTGCACTGCAAAGATTATGATACCCCCCTCTCTGTGTAATTCACAGTAAAAATACTACCATAAAATATTCTTTTCCTTTTTCCCCCGATTACCATACTGTTTTCTTTATTTTTCTTTTTTTAATTGAATATATTGGGGTGGCATTGGTTAATAAAATTATACAGGTTTCAGGTATACAATTCTACAATGCATCGTTTGTATATTGTACTGTGTGTTTACCACCCCAAGTCAAGTATCCTTCCATCACCATTTATCTCCCCATTCCCTTCTTCTACCTCCCCCCATCCCACCTTTCCCTCTGGTAATCACCATACTGTTGTCTGTGCCTATGAGTCTCTTTTTTTCTTTCCTTAATCCCTTCACCCTTTTCACTCAGGAGCCAAACTCCTCCCCTCTGAAAGCTGTCACTCTATTCTTTGTATCCATGAATCTGTCTCCACTTTGTTAGTTTATTTTGTTCATTAGATTCCACATATAAGTGAAATCATATGTTACTTGTCTTTCTCTGACTGGCTTATTTCACTTAATAATATCCAGGTCCATCCATGCTGTTGCAAAAGGCAAGATTTCCTTTTTTACAACTGAGTAGTATTCCATTCTATAAGTGTACCACAGCTTTTTTATCCACTGATCTACTGATGGGCACTTGGGCTGCTTCCAGATCTTGGCTATTGTAAATAACGCTGCTATGAACATTGGGGTGCAAATGTTCTTTTGAATTAGTGTTTCAGATTTCTTGAGATATATTCCCAGAAGTGGAATCACTGGGTCATAAAGCAGTTCCATTTTTAATTTTTTGAGGTAACTCCATACTGCTTTCCACAATAGCTGCACCCATCTGCATTGCCACCAGCAGTGCACTAGAGTTCCTTTTTTCTCCACATCCTCACCTACACTTGCTGTTTGTTGATTTATTGATGCTAACCATTCTGACAGGTATCAGGTGACATCTCATTGTGGTTTTAATTTGCATTCTCTGATTATTAGTGATGTTGAACATCCTTTCATATATCTGTTGGCCATCTGTATGTTCTCTATGGAGAAGTGTCTATTCAGTTCCTTTGCCCATTTCTTAATTGGATTGGATTTTTGGTGTTGAGTTTTGTAAGTTCCTTATACATTTTGGATATTAACCCCTTATCAGATGTATTGATGAATATCTTCTCCCATTCAGTGGATTGTCTTTTCATTTTGTTGATGGTTTCCTTTGCTGTGCAAAAACTTTTAGTTCAATATGGTCCCATTTGTTTACTTTTTCTTTTGTTTCCCTTGCCCAAGAAGATATATCAGAACAAATATTGTTATGAGAAATGTCTGAGATTTTACTGCCTATTTTTTCTTCCAGGATATTTATGGTTTTGAGTTTAACACTTAAGTCTTTAATCCATTTTGAGTTTATTCTTATGTGTGCTGTAAGAAGGTGGTCTAATATAATTTTTTGCATGTATCTGTCCAAAACCATTTACTGAATAGACTATCTTTACCCCATTGTATGTTTTTGCCTCCTTTGTCAAATTTTTTTTTTTTTTAATATATCTTTATTGATTTCAGAGAGAGGAAAGGAGAGGGAGAGAGAGATAGAAACATCAATGATGAGAGAGTCATTGATCAAGCCCACAACCTGGGCATGTGCCCTGACCAGGAATCAAACCCCAATCGCCTGGATCCCAGGTCGACGCTCAACCGCTGAGCCACACCCGGTCGGGCACCTTTGTCAAATATTAATTGACTTTAAAGGCGTGGGTTTATTTCTAAGCTCTGTATTCTGTTCCATTGACCTATATGCCAGTACCATGCTGTTTTGATTACTTTGGCCTTGAAATATAGTTTGATATCAGGGAGCATGATTTATCCAACTGTGTTCTTCTATCTAAAGATTGCAGTGGCTATTTGGGGTCTTTTGTGGTTCCATATAAATTTTTCAAATATTTGTTCTAGTTCTGTGAAATACGCTATTGGCATCTTGATAGGAATTGCTTTGAATCTAGAGATTGCTTTGGGTTGTATGGATATTTTAATGATGTTAATTCTTCCTGTCCATGAACATGGTATATGCTTTCACTTATGTGTATCTTCTTCTATTTCTTTCTTCAGTGTGTTATAGTTTTCCGAGTACAGGTCTTTTACATCCTTGGTTAAATTTATTCCTAGGTATTTTATCTTTTTAAAGCAATTGTGAATGGGATTGCTTTCTTAGTTTCCCTTTCTGATAGTTCATTATTGGTGTATAAAAATGCAACTGATTGTTGGATATTTATTTTGTATCCTGCTATTTTACTGAATTCATTGATCAGTTCTAGTAGTTTTTTGGTGGAATCTTTAGGGTTCTCTATATACAGTCATCTGCAAGTAATGACAGTTTTACTTCTTTCTTTTCAATTTGGATGCCTTTTATTTCTTCTTCTTGTCTGATGGCTGTGGCTAGGACTTCCAGTACTATGTTGAATAAGAGTGGTGAAAGCAGACACCCCTGTCTTCTTCTTGATCTTAATGGGAACACTTGTAGTTTTTGCCCATTGAGTATGATGTTGGCTGTGGGTTTGTCATATATGGCCTTTATTATGTTGATGTATGTTCCCCCTATTCCCACTTTTCTGAGAGTTTTTATCACAAATGAGTGTTGGGTTTTGTCAAGTGCTTTTTCTGCATTTAAAAACCATATGATTATATGGTTTTTATCCTTCATTTTGTTTGTATGGTGTATCACATTTATTGTTTTGCAGATATTGCACCAACCTTGCATTCCTGGAATAAATCCCACTTGATCATGGTGTAGGACCTTTTTAATGTATCTGGTTTGCTAATACTTTGTTCAGGATTTTAGCATCTTTGTTTATTGGGGATATTGGCCTGTAATTTTCTTTCTTTGTTGTGTCTTATTTGGTTTTGAAATTAGGATAATGTTTGGCTCATAAAATAAGCTTGGGAGTCTTCCCTCCTTTTGTCTTGGAATAGTTTTGTTTTGAAATAGTTTGAGAAGGATAGGTGTTAGCTTTTCTTTGAATGTTTGGTAAAATTCACCTGTGAAGCCATCTGGTTCAGGACTTTTGTTTGTTGGGCAGTGTTTTTTAAATTTTTTTTATTACTGCTTCAATTTCACTAGTTGTAATCTACCTATTCAGATTCTCTGATTCTTCATGATTCAGCTTTTGAAGATTGTATACTTCTAGGTATTTTTCCATTTCTTCCAGATTGTCCAATTTGTTGGCATATAGTTGTTTGTAATATTTTCTTACAAAAATGTCCTTTTTCTAAGTTCAAGAAACCTTTATGAGTGCTGTATTCAGTAAATTTTGTAAGACTGTTTGATTCTTATACTTTTTCAGTGTGCCTGTTTGGCTAGGTCCCAAAGCACACAATCTAACTATGACCCAAGAATGGCATTTTAAAATAATTTGAGGTATGGGCACACCTCCCCCCAAAAAGGCTATTGGGGATCCCTTCCTAACTTTCCAGGGCTCTAAAAGAAGAGCTGGAATGGAGACAGAGGTGAGGAGGTGGAGAGGCTACAGGGTAGATCCACAGGATGGAGGGCAGGGGTGGAGCAGGAGGTTTGTCTCCGGCTGTGCCTGGGTCCTGCCCCTGGGGATGGAGTTGGCTGCTGAGATCCCTGCTCCTGTGTTCCCCTCACCCAGACTCCATCAGTAAGCCCTGTTCATTCTCCCTCCTAAATAAACCTTGAATCTGTCTCATTCTCTCCATCACCACTACCACCCTCTAAAGCTAAACCATCATCACTTCTTACAGGGACCACTGAAATAGCCTTCTAGTCCACCCTCCACAGAGGAGCCAGAGTGAGTTTTAAGCATTGTTACCCAGATTATATCTGATTAAAACCTCCTGGATCACTTCCCATTGCACGTCAAAAACTCTAAATTACTTACAGGTCCACAAAGCTGTCCCATCCTGATGCACACTGACTGCTTCCTGATATTGTCACATAGTAAGCTGAATCTTGACTAAGGCCCTTCTCACTTGCTGTTGCCTCTATGTGGCTCTTTGTATGTCAGGCTCTTTTCCTTCTTCTTAAATTTTATTTTTTAAAATAATTTTTGTTTTTCAATTACTGTTGACATACAATATTATATTAGTTTCAAGTGTACAACATAGTGATTAGACATATATATAACTTATGAGGTGATCACCCCATAAATCTAGTACACTTTTAACACTATAAAGTTATTACAATATTATTGACCGTATTCCCTATTCTGTATTTTATATCCCCATGACTATTTTGTGACTACCAATTTGTACTTCTTTATCCCTTTCCCTTTTACACCCAGCCTCCCAAACCCCCTACCATCTGGCAACCATCAGAATGTTGTCTGTGTCTATCTGTGAGTCTGTTTGTGTTTTGCTTGTTCATTGATTTTGTTTTTTAGATTCCACATAAAAGTGAAATCATGTGGTATTTGTCTTCCTCTGAGTTATTTCACTCAGAATGATACTCTAGTTCCATCCATGTTGTCGCAAATGGTAAAATTTCATTCATTTTTATGGCTGAGTCATATTCCATTGTATATATGTACCACTTCTATATCCATTCATCTATTGATGGACACTTAGGTTGCTTCCATATCTTAGCTATTGTTAATAATACTAGAATGAACATAGGAGTGCATATGTCTTTTTGAATTAGTGTTTTGGGTTTCTTTGGATAAATACCCAAAGAGTGGAATTGCTGGGTCATTCTTTGTCTCTTGTTATAGCCTTTGTTTTAAGGTCTGTTTTGTCTGGCATAAGTATTGCTACCCCAGACTTTTTATTTCAATTCTATTTTCACAAAATATCCTTTTCCATCTCTTTACTTTCAATCTGTGTGTGTCTTTCTATCTGAAGTGAATCTCTTAAGGCACCATATGTAAGGGTCTTGTTTTCCTTTCTTTTATTATTATTTTTTGTTAATCCTCACTCAAGGATATATTTTCCATTGATTTTTAGAGAGAGTGGAAGGGAGGGCGAGCCGGGGGGAAGAGAGAGAGAGACAAACATTGATGTGAAAGAGACACATCTATTGGTTGCCCACATGTGCCCTGATTGGGGCAGGGTTCAAACCTGGAACCCAGGTACATGCCCTTGGCTGGGAATCAAACCCTCAACCCTTTGGGATGTGGGCCGATGCTCTAACCACTGAACACCACCAGCCAGGTCTTGTTTTTTTATCCATTTAGCCATCCTATGTCTTTTCATTGAAGCATTTAATCCATTTATATTTAAAGTAATTGTTGATAGATATGTAATTATTGCCATATTATTATTCACAATTTTTATCTTTTTTTCTTCTTTTTCTTCAAGAAGATCCTTTAACATTTCATGTAAAATGGTGTGATGAGCTCCTTTAGCTTTTCTTGTCTGGGAAGCTCTTTATCTATCCTTTGATTCTAAATGATGTCTTTACTGGGTAGAATAATCTTGGTTGTAGGTTCTTGGTTTTCATCACTTTGAATATTTTGTTCCAATTCCTATAGGCCTGCAAAGTTTCCATTGAGAAATCATCTGACAGCCTTATGGGAGCTCCTATGTACGTAACTAATTGCTTTTCTCTTGCTGCTCTTAAGATTCTCACTTTGTCTTTAACCTTTGGCATTTTAATTATGATGGGCCTTGGTGTGAGCCTCCTTGTGTTTATCTTGTTTTGGAGTCTCTGTGCTTCCTCGTCTTGTATGTCTATTTCCTTCTCCAGTTAGGAAATTTTTCTGTCATTGTTTCTTCAAATAGGTTTCACTTCCTTGCTTGCTCTCTTTTCCTTCTGGTACCTCTATGCTACAGATGTTGATACAGTTGATGTTGTCCCAGAGGTTCCTTAAACTATCCTCATTTTTTGGATTCCTTTTTCTTTTTGCTGTTCAGATTGGGTGTTTTCTGCTTTATCTTCCAAATCACTGATTTGATCCTTTGCTTCATCTATTCTACTGTTGATTCCCTTACTGCATTCTTCATTTCTAACTGGTTCTTTTTCATGTTTTCTATTTCCATTTTTATGTTCCCTATCTCTTTGTTGAAGTTTTCACTGAGGTCATTGAGCATCCTATAACCAGTGCTTTGAACTCTGCATCTGGTAGGTTGCTTGTCTCCATTGTGTTTAGTTCTTTTTCTGGAGTTTTGTTCTTTTATTTCATTTGGGACATGTTTCTTTGTTTCCTTATTTTGGCTTGCTCCCTGTATTGGTTTCTGTGTATTAGGTAGAGCTGCTATGCCTCCCAGTCTTGATAGAGTGGCCTATGTTGTAAGTGTCCTGTGGGGCCCAGTGGCATATTCTCTGTGGTCACCTGAGCCAGGTACTCCAGATGTGTCCATTGTGTGGATTGTGTGTGCCCTCCTGTTGTAGTTGAGCCTTGATTGCTGTTGGCATGTCATTGGGAGGGACTGACGCTCAGGCTGACTTGCTGTGAGGACTGGCTATGACTACAATGAAGGAACTGTTATGCAGGGGCCCACCCTATGGAACAGGATTGCTTTAGTGGGGCTCTGGTGCGTCAGGCTCTTTTTCATTCCCTTTAAATCTCAGCTTAATAGCTCTAAGAATGTACCTTACAACCATACTTAAAAGTATGGGTATTTTTTCTTTCTTGTGTAAAAACTAATCATGTCCATTTAAAAAAGAAAAAGCACTTGTGATCCTTTCTCATCAAGAGAAAACCACTATTAACATTTCAGTGTATACTTTTTTAGACTCCCATTTCAAATTTATAGAGATAATATATAATTATGGGAAAATGAAACCAGCACAGGCAGGTGTTGAGTATCTACCAGGTGTTTGAAAAGCTACCACCATACTTTCTAATTCATTGGCATGTTTTCTTCCTTCCTATCTCTAATCATACGCTATTAAGAATTTGTGGCTAGTGTGTCCTTCTCTTCCATTAAAATGTCAGCTCTGTATAGGTGTGACTTTGGTCCTATTCTCTTGCATTCCTAATTCTTACACTTGGCAAACAGTAGGTGCTTACTGTGTTTGTGTTGATTGACTGAGGACCACAATTAATAAACTTACTTTAGGTCTCAGGCCTCAAAGGATAGGTGGATGGGGCTTGGAGTTAACTCAGAAGGAGAAGGGGACTAGAGAGGCCCAGAGTGTTCCCACCCATCCTGACCTCCCCACCCCACCCCACCGACTCTGCCCCCAGGCATTGCCTTGGAGGTCCAGGTCCCTGAAAACCCCATAGTGGCCCTGGTGGGCACCGACGCTACCCTATGCTGCTCCTTCTCACCCAAGCCCAGCTTCAGCCTGGCACAGCTCAGCCTCATCTGGCAGCTGAGACACACTAAACAGCTGGTGCACAGCTTCACACAGGGCCAGGACCAGGGCAGTGCCTATGCCAACCGCACTGTGCTCTTCCCTGACCTACTGGGACAAGGCAACGTGTCCCTGAGACTTCAACATGTACAAGTGGAAGACAAGGGTAGCTTCACTTGCTTGGTGAGCATCCAGGACATTGGCAGTGCTGTGGTCAACCTGCAGGTGGCAGGTGAGCACCAGAAGGGGGTGCCCTCCATTAGCACACACCTCTCACTTCCCTAGCCCCTTACCTGCTGCCCAGCGCCAACCCATGTTATTCACAGCCCTAGACACCCTGTTCCTCCACTGTGCTCCCTCTGCCCTTGCCTTACCTTGACCTCTGCCCTTTGCCTCCCTCAAGCCCCCTACTCGAAGCCCAGCATGACCCTGGAGCCAAACAAGGACTTGAGTCCTGGGGATACAGTGACCATCACGTGCTCCAGCTACCGGGGCTACCCTGAGGCCGAGGTGTTCTGGCAGGATGGGCAGGGTGTACCTGTGGCAGGCAATGTGACCACATCGCAGATGGCCAATGAGCAGGGATTGTTTGATGTGCGCAGTGTTCTGAGAGTGGTGCTGGGTGCTAATGGCACCTACAGCTGCCTGGTGCACAACCCTGTGATGCATCAGGACTCTCATGGCTCCGTCACCATCACGTCCCACAGAAGTCCTGCAGGTTTTTTTGCTTTAATGTCCCCCTGAGGGAGGGAGGTCTTGGCCCTATTAGGGGCCAAAGGATCTGAATCTAGTTCCCCACTTTCAGTCTCCCAGAACAGTGCCATACCTAGTAATAACAGGAAAGAGAAATAGAGTGGGTAGTGGAGACCTTACCATGGTGGTAGGTGGTGAGGGCGATGGTGACAGGCCTTCTTGGCTCTCTGGGTCTCCCGACTCAGGGCTCTGGAGACTTCTGGAAGGATGGAGAAGCATTCAGATCTCAGCAGGGATGAAGGAAAGGCGAGGGAAATGAGTCCTAGCTGGGAGGAAGGGTTTGCTAGGACCAGAGGCGGTCCAAGTCTGCCCCCCGGAATGGACCTTGTCAGGCCAAGGCCAACCTGATGTGAATTTTGTCAGATTAGGAAGACTCCATGTCTGGGAGTCCTGAGACTCAATCTGCTTTTGGGTGTGGGGAGAAGATGGGAAAATGAAGGGGGCCTGGGGTTGATTGGGGAGGAGATCTGGGAGGCTACAGGGTGGTAACCTAGAGTGTTGCCACCCTTCCTCACTACCCTGCTCCTCCAACCTTGCCCTCAGGCGCGGTGGATGTCCAGGTCCCTGAAGACCCTGTGGTGGCACTGGTGGGCACCGATGCTACCTTGCGCTGCTCTTTCTCACCTGAGCCCGGCTTCAGCCTGGCGCAGCTCAGCCTCATCTGGCAGCTGACAGACACCAAACAGCTGGTGCACAGCTTCACGCAAGGCCGGGACCAGGGCAGCGCCTATGCCAACCGCACTGCGCTCTTCCCTGACCTACTGGCGCAGGGTAATGCATCTCTGAGGCTTCAGCACGTGCGCGTGGCTGATGAGGGCAGCTTCACTTGCTTCGTGAGCATCCAAGACTTTGGCAGTGCTGCTGTCAGCCTGCAGGTGGCAGGTGAGCACCAGAAGGGGGTGCCCCCCCCTTGACACACTTCTCTTATTTCCCTGACCTCTTACCTACTGCCCAGTGCCGAACCCTGTTATAGCCCCAGGTGCCCTGTTCCTCCACTGTGCTCCCTCTGCCCTTGCCTTTTCTTGACCTCTGCTCTTTGCCTCCCTCAAGCCCCCTACTCGAAGCCCAGCATGACCCTGGAGCCAAACAAGGATCTGCGGCCTGGGGATACAGTGACCATCACGTGCTCCAGCTACCGGGGCTACCCTGAGGCCGAGGTGTTCTGGCAGGACGGGCAGGGTGTACCTGTGACAGGCAATGTGACCACATCGCAGATGGCCAATGAGCAGGGATTGTTTGATGTGCGCAGTGTTCTGAGAGTGGTGCTGGGTGCTAATGGCACCTACAGCTGCCTGGTGCGCAACCCTGTGCTGCAGCAGGACTCTCACGGCTCCGTCACTGTCACAGGTAGGGGACTGATGAACAGCTGGGGAGGATGGAGGGACCCACCCCTTCTTTTCTAGACCCTGGACTGGAATATAGATAGTACGGATGCTCAGAAGACTTGAAAGATCATTTTCATACATTTTAGGTGTCCCAAACTCTCCCCCAAGAAGTCCTTAAGGGACTTGTCTTAATGAGCTGATAAGAAGCATTTGTCATTTGCTCTCCTAGGAGCACCTTAGTGGCACTTATGCTTCTTATACAGGGAACCAAGTACCTGCCTGGAATCCAAGGTGTGGATGGGAGTTCTGGGACGGCCCCAAGGCATGGTCCAGGGACCTGGTAAGGGAGTGTTTTCCTATGGGAACTTCTCTGGGTGATGGGAAGGCTTTGCTGCATCCATGGGCGCCATCTGATTCTGAAGCCCTGAGAGAGGTGGGCTTCTACAGGTGGTCAGTCCCCAGCAACCCATCAATGTCATCTCCTCTATAATTGAGCTCTCAACCCAGGCAGCCGTTGGAATGGCTAGGGCTCTCTCTGCTGCTCCCATGTGGTCAGATACTAGCTTGATGCCACAATCTCTGGTTTGGAGGTCCTAGCACAGACACCATTCCCCTTCCTTGAGCACCCACCTCAGTGGGCATCCCTTGTGCCTGGAGATGTGAAGTGGGCTCAGGCCTGCATGCAGGCCAAAGGGGCAGTCTTCCATCTGTGTTTGAATCTCAGTCTGGCTCCTCACTTCCTCCCCATGGGCCAGTTGACCTTTCCCAGGGGCCTCCCCACATATTCTGGGGTCAGCACAGCAGGTTCTGTCCTGTTTTCTCCCACCCAGCCCAC